AATATGAAAAATAAATAATTTAATAAAAAGAAAGAAGATTTTTAATAATAGCTATTCATTTCAAGGGTATCGATAGGCTGAATTTATCCAGAGTTGCTAAAAGAAATTTAAAGATCTTCTGGTTATATCTGTTCTCTAATAGAAAATTGGAAAACTGGCTCAGCCAATATGCTCGCTTAGCTGCTAAACGAGCATAAAAAACAGCTTGCATGTTTTTTTTTTCCACTGTTCTCTAATCGCCTTTCGCTGTGAACCATTTCGTGTTCTGCTCTTGTTTTACATAATTCCGTTCCATGGGCCTTGACAGTGTCCGGAATTTCTGTCTGTTTTCGGATTAGGGCCGAGGTTAGGCCGCCAGCTGAATGTGAGAGTCCAGAACTGAGCCCACTGGGCCCTCGAAGCGGTGACCCACAAATGTTCAAGTCTCAATTTATTTATTTATTTCTATTTCTATTTCTCTATTTCTCTTCTCTTCTCTTTCATTTTCATCTCATCTCTGTTGACCCTTTGTCGAGTGGAATTTCATTTGACAAACGAATTGTTTCTCTTCAGTCGAGCGAACAAATTCGTTCGACATTGCTTTCTACAATATATGCAGCTGGCACATGTGAACCGGTTCGTAAGTGGTTCAACTCAATTACTTTGCTTAAATTGATACATATTTTCTGATGAATATATGTATGTACATATATGTGGGGAAAAGAAGTGCTTCTGAAGAAGCTTTATTAGTTCTTTGAGCTGCGCCTAATGAACTGGTTCAAATCTAGTTCAGCATTTACAAATTCTCAAATCGAAATGTTAAATTTGATTTTTATACTGGAGTTTCTGGTATTGATGGATATTGGAAATGATGATTAAGTTTTTCTTGGTAGCTTTAAAAGTTCTTCTCCAGTGAACTGGTTCAGAATTGTTTGAGCTCTATAGTTCGAGAAGTTCGATTGGTAAAGTAATTCAATTTAATATCTTGGCTGCTGTAACGGGACTCTAGCTCTAGCTTAAGCTTACATTTGTAAGCGTTTATTGTGAACTGGTTCCAAAGTAAAGGTGAACCACTTTCAGTCTATTCGCTGTAGCTTAGCATCTTTATAGATGCCCTATGGCCTTTCGCACATTTCCAAGTAGATGAATTTGATTTCCGAATAGTTTGAAGTTCATTTAACTCTCTATATGAACTGGTTCATAGATGGTTCACTGACTCAGTTTGTTTTCTGTGGCTCAGCGTCTTTATATATAGAGCAGTGCTTCCAAGTTGATGAAGTTCCGAATACCTTGGAGTCCCTTCAACTCTCTATATGAACTGGTTCAAAAGTGGTTCATCATCTCAGTATATTTGTTTTGCTAATCGTAAAGCATTTCTTCGACTTTCCATAAATATGAGCGCTTTCTGGCTTCTTTCAAGTCGCGTCATGCCAGGTCAATGGGCAGATAAGCATGATGTCTGAGACACAAGGATTGGATACAAAGGCCTTACGAACAAAACTTTCCCATTTTATCGCTTTTAGTTGTCATAAAATACTAATGCTAGTTAGACTAGTTGATATTCATTTAATAATATTGCCATAAAAATGTTTACGAGCCTTAGACGTAATTCCATTAAAGGCCGAAAGAGATAGACAGAGAGAGAGAGAGAGAGGGAGAGAGAGAGAGAGAGAGAGAGAGAGAGAGAGAGAGTGAGCGAAACAATTCGTAAGCAGCTGCTTTAATAAATCATGTTGGGCTCTAATATTTGTGAGCCACTTATCAATTTGTTGAGCCCACTTTTGTGTGGYTCGAACTACTCGAAAGTTTTGGTCCAGCACACACACACACACACACGAGCGAACACACACACACACACACAAGCACCCACACGGAGACCAAAAAAGTATGCAACAGTATTTTGCACTTTGCCGCATTGTTTGCTCTAATCAAACTTTTTGTCTGCTTGGCCGTTGGGTGGGTGGGAAGCCGGAAGGGGGTTGGCGGTAGGGGGGGGGGTGTAGCTAAGGTCGTGGGCGGGTATGGCTTTAGCCCAGTCATTTGGGAGTCTATGAAAATATTTTGAACAAAAATTGTTGCCTTGTCATCCAGCGAACAACAACAACAACAACTACAACTACAACAACAACTACAACAAATGCTGTGGGCAAAAGCTAAAAGCAAAAACTTTTGCCTGTTTATTTTTGGTGTCCATATATATATACACATATATTTTTGCCATTTCCTTTTTTTTTTTGTGGTTCTTATTTTTTGTTATTTCATTTATTTATTTTGTATTTCCTCGACCACGCCCCCTCAACCGTCCGCCCTTTTACTATGGCATGGCACATTTACCGTTTTACTAACGCTTTTTGCCTTTTGTGCGCTTCTTCTTATTTTCTTTTCAGGTGAGTAAACGCAACTGTTTTCAACTATCTCCGTCTCTCTCACGCACGCTGGAGAGCCCACTCCACACACTGATGTGGAAAAGTGAAATCCCGTTTGATGTAAAGTGACGTCGGCTGGGTGGCGCGGCAGAGGGGACCATAAGTGCTCCTCACTCTCTCCCGCTGCCGCTCCCTCCCGCTCTCTCTCTCTCCCTCTCTCGCTCTATGTGCACTGGCTATGTCGCCCCTCGGCTGCAAAATGTGAGTTCAAGCAAGAAATACAAAATGCCAAAATCTATTAATGCGTTTTAGGGTTGTCCCAAATTACGTCACACTCACAAAACTATATCCACTCTAACCGCCACGCCCACAAACCATGCCCCATGCCCCTGGCCCTTGCTCACGTTCTCTCCAGCCGTAAACCCTGCTCTAATCCGGATGATGCCGCTGTCCATTACTGCAAGCGCTCATTACATGTGGGGGCAGCACAACACTATTTGCCATACCCTGTACGCTGCAGCGAAGATGGGTATATTGGTGTCACTGCTTGACGTGTGCAAATGACAAAGTTATGCAAAAGAAATGAGATATACATACATATATGTATATATAGAGAGAGAGGGAAAATATTACTCAAATAAAATTATCTTCAGTTCTGATGGGTTTTAAGATTCTCTAGGATCGCACACATGCGAACAGACGGATGGACAGATATGCGGACGAACAGACAGACATGATTAAATCAACTCACCTCATCGCGCTGATCAAAATTCTACATATACATATACACACACACCTTACGTACTCAATGGACTTACAGGGTATCGCTCAGTCGACCAGCAGCACGTGACAACAACTTCACTTGTTTACTAATGTATGAGAGTTCGCACAGGATATTAACCGCAAAACTGAGGGCGAGCTTTTAGCGAATCGTTCAGTATGATGATGAGGCAGCCGGTAGGTGGTGGTCAGAGAGTGTTGTTGATGGCAGCGGGCAGGGGAGAGGGCGACAGGGCGGCAGGGTCAGTGAGCGAGCTGGGTTGGCTGGCACTTGGGCCAGCTGCCAACATTTGCTAATTGCTTCATTAAATGTTTGCTTAATTTCGTTCGAATTAGCTTCAACTCAGTGTCCAGTGAGCGGCCAGTGTGTGAGTGTGTGTGTGGAAGAATGAGACAGGGCATGCTTGGGGTTAACATGTGCCTCTCTCCCTACCTGCCTACCTCCCGCCCTCTCGATCTCTCTCTCTCTCCCTCACTCGCTCGCTCTTCCACTCTCATTAGGGTTTTGCGTCTGTGTTTAATTGCAGCTAGCGTAAATGCGTTGGGGAAGCGTCGCAGCTCTACGCAAATTTCAAGTCTTTTTTTTTTTGTTATTTTTTTTCTCTTTGTTTTTTTCTGCAGTCGCTTAAACCGTTTTAACTGTTGCAAAATGCTTTGCAAGCCGCAGCAGCTTTTTTTCCCTCAAGTTCGACCACAGATGGCGCTTAGCGGCGAGGCCGCAAGTGTGTTGAGTTTGCCGTTGCGTGTGTTGAGTTTCGCACTGCGTGTGTTGAGTTTGTTGCATAAAGAGAGGGCCAGTCAAAGAGAGCGCTGGCACTTAAGAGCGAGATGGATTCAAAAAAGGGGGG